TTAAACTTTAAACACAAGCCAAAATTCTAAACGAGCAGAGCTTAAATGCTTTTTGTCAGGAAATGGCAGCTTTAGGTAGTTATTTTTCCACATTTAAAAATATAAAAAATATTTTGTTTTCGTTTGTTACATTTTTACGAACGTAATAAAAACAGTCATTAGCTCCTGTATTCTGGGTTAAGTAAAACTAAATTGCATGGTTAAAAAATAACAAAGGAACTAATCTCTTATTTTCTTACCATAGCGTGAATAATCAATAATGCAAAGGCTGTATTAAGCTTGAAAGAGTTGCCACCATTATAGTGTTTGCATTAGTGTACGTTTTGCTAATAGTTTGCCATAAATCTGTTGATATATTCAAGGCCTTGTAGGCACGAGCGAGAGAGAGGTAAAGCACTGGAATGTCCTGAATCTGTAAAACGTCATTAGTTTCCCCAGGCTGGGAAACCCAGTGGAGAGAAGGTAATGATGGCAAGGTAATGACGGAAGGTTAGGTAACAACTATGTTAGAGGTTGGGTTCAGCGTATTTGAGCTACACAAGGGTACTGTTATTTATTCAGAGGCGAGGCAAATCATTTTCGATATTCAAATTTCACAAAGTGTCTTGACCTCGCTCATCTCCATTGGAGGCCCGTGAGCACGAGTGAAAATTCCACATTCTCATGGTCACTCCATAGGAGGACTGTGGTCGACTTCACAACACCTCTGGGGACAATAATATTTTTTAATGGTAACTATTAATAAGCACTCATGTTGAAATTGTGTAATGAACAACAAACGTTGCCTTCAAGTTCAGAAATATCTTCTCCGTCAGTTGAACAAGTTATGGACCAATGTTTTGCACTCAGGAACAGTAAACCAATGTTATATAGTTATGGGCACGTGAAGTTGCTTGGTAGTTTGAAGCTTGGTTTTCAGATATCAGGTTTCAGGCTTTGATGAGAGCATACTGTGGAGACTTTAAAGTTTAGCAGAACTGCAATAACTGAAAAGATATTTACGAAAATGCTTTGCTGTGAGCGCATGTTTTATGTTTGATTTTAAAGCATTTTAGGATTATAAATAGGACAATAAGGAAGAGCAATACAGAAAGAGTCAAAGTGCCACACCTTCTCAAATGAGCATTGCATGGTGCTCATCTTTGTTTATGCCACTCAGAAAGTAGTGGAAATTCCACATTACTTTATCTGGGGCCAAGACCATATTTCACACAGACGTATCAAATACACACTGTCTGCTACACATATATACACATTGATGCACATAAATAGCACGTTTTAATGCTGGCATAGCCATGGTTATCCAGATAGTATATAATAAACTCTCAGAGCCAAGACAATCCAAATTGCATTCGAAACCACATACATTTGATGGTTCCTTTGTGAAGTCATTACTAATGACTGGGGCTTAGAGCATAAAATGTGAAAACCTGTTTAATTTCGGGTGGCCACGTGGGGCTCAAACCCAAGATCTCACTGGTGCTGGTTCAATATTCTGGCAATGGGCATAGCTTTTGTCCCTTGAGCTGTAAGGCCACCTCTCCTGCCAGAGTTTTAATTCCTGGATAAATGATAATGAACACATTAAATCATCAATGAACGATTCACATTGTTTCATTTAAGAAAATTATTTGTTTGTTTTTGTTTGCTTTTGGAAAATAATCACCAGTATTAAATTGTGTGCGTGTGTATGTTCTCTTTTTTATAATCAATTCCCCCATGGTTAACCACAACTTGCACGAAAAATGAAAAGTATCTGCTCAATGTAAAACCTGTGCTCCTGACACCGCACAGAGGGTTACTGGAACAAGCGAGTATTTGCATTTACACGGCAGTAATTAGGGTATCGCTTTCCCCTGGGCCGCTGCTTGAAGGCAGGCTCATTGTGGGCTCCTGTGAAAGCTGGGTCGGGCTGTGTTAACCCTGCCTGCTTAACTCGAGATGGTGATAAGGGTCGAATCTGCTTTGCAAGGACGAGGGCTGGGCACCAATTTCTCTGGCATTTTCCATTAAGGAACCACGGAGCATTTAAATGTGGCTGCCTGCAACATGCCATTTGCAGAACTTAATAATAATTCACTTACATGTATTTATCCAAGAAAGCCACTAAGAGTCATGGTGCAATTTTTCAGGAACGTCCTGCAATTGTTTTTTCTATTTTAAGACGTTTTAAGCAAATTAACGAGTGTAGCAGAAAACCGGAGCACCTGGAAAAAAGCCCCACGCACACGAGGGGGCAACACTGTATCCCTGTATAGACATAAGCAGATGGTGATTAGTCCACGTGCTGTACTGCCGTCTCCTGGCGAGCCAGGGTACGGCACCTCGAAGCCTACACGGACGGAGTTTTGCAACATTTGTGCCATCTACTAAACGTCACCTCTGCAGTGCTGGGTTACAGGTGTACATGGCCATCAACACCTGGCACACGATAACTTCAACGTTAAATGTATGCTAGTGTGGATAAAGGGGTGATGTGCACTGCGTTACCACCTTGGTAACAATGTTTTTTTTTTATTCCTGACCATGCACATCTTTGGTAAGTGGTATCTGAACCTGTATTGGCTCACATGCATCTTGACCTAAGTGAGTAGCTGGTGACATAATGATGATTGTCAGGCATGGGTTCAGCCACACCACTCTGTGTGCCATGCAGTGATCGTTTAGATTATTTCTATTATTTGGCTGCTATACATTTTCATGTGCAAAGCTACTTTGTTGAGCTATCATTTGTGGCCAGGTCGCTTCTGTAACATAAGCTAAGAGCTCAGTGAGCTTCACCTGGTAAAATGTAAATGTTCTTGCCGTTGGTTTTCACACCTGATGATGACTGCTTGTGTTGCAGTCGAAACGTCGTGAGAATTTTATTGTTTTATATATATTTTATTGTTTCCCTTCAACGTGACTTTACCGAAAGAACCAAGAATATGAATCACTGCAGTCACGAAAGCTTTAAATACAAATTTAGTTTTGTTTTCTTTGTATGTTTTTCAGTGATTTGCTTACCTTTCCTATGCTTTGCACTCCTATCGAATTTTTATTGTTTGTTGTTGTAACGTTCTGGCCTGTCCCTCCTGGACATCTGTGAAAAAGAGCTTTATAGCTCATCAGATTCCTCCATTATGAATCCATATTCTGACTCTGTGCTTTGTAGGTGTTCACGAACCACATTTTCCCCAATGGTTCATGAGAGTATATGGGGTATATTTGGTTTTGTCGTTATTGGGGCACCGTATTATGATCAAGCAGCCCCTGGTCAAATTCCTTGGTGTGTATAACACCAGTAGGCAATTGAAACTTGGCTTATCCTCCCTTGGGTCAACTCAGGCTAAAATGGCTGCAGCTCATTTGGAGTGATCACCATCAACAATGGAAAGATGGCCCTACATGCGTCTTGCTAACCACAGCACCTTAGCATGTGGCGAGTCAGGCCTAATAGGTGCTCACTAAAAGTTCCTTCACCAACAGCCAAACGACTCCAAGGGGAATAATTGAGTGTGGCATATGGTATAGCTTATACAGAAGCAATTTGTGTCTCAAAAATTGGATTTAAGGTGTCTGGTTTTCAATCCTCCTTTAAATACTGCATTTCAGCAATGGTTTTGAAATTATGTACGGGTATCTTGATGACATGCATGTCTTAATGAGGGTAAGTAATTTGCACAGATTAGCATGTATTAGTAATTGTATCATATAAAATGCATTAATTAGGTGCATTAACAATGTCAATCAAAATAATATAATAAAGGCATATCGCTGTAAAGCATATGCATTATAAATACTCTTCAAATACTTATTCGAGTATTCATGTCTGGTTAAATATTTTAATATCAAAACCTACAATGACACAGCCTGTTTCCCTTAATCATACACTTGGCCACAAACATGGCTGTCTATATGCGTACATACCCACATATTGTCTACATATATACACATTCACACATTTGAACAGACATTCCAGTATGTGTGTGCACACATTAAACTATGCACACTTACTCCAATATACACTATATGCTCATGCACAAAGGCAAATATGTGTATAGACCATAAGGGGCAAGTTCTCTTTGCAAGTACCTATTAAGGCTGACATCACGCATAAAGTGGTTGTATGCCGAGCACCTTATGTGCTGGGCCTTTGTCTCCACAGTGTTGATATTGACACACTGCACGAGGTACTCATTTAAGGCTGAGCTGACCAATGGGAGGCCCACCATAGGTTTGGATAACAACGTGGTGGCCACAATCGTGACACAGTGCACTAATGCCTGTGCCACCACTCCACACGTGTATATGAACACGTGTGGAAAAAAACTATCCGTAAAGTCCACAAACATTACAGTCAGCGGAAACAATTCTAGGTGTCGTATTCGTTTTTACGTGCTGCATTGCTACATGTGGAGTGTATGTGAAATAAGGAAATCCGTATTAACAGGGTGCGTGAGTTCCATCAGGTAGCACAAAGCATGGTCAAATTCATATGACTCAGCTGGACTTAGCAGAGTCTCCTTTGGTCTTTTCCAACTTGAGTCTATTTTACAAAATAATAGCAAGTCATGATATATTGCCTGTTCATCAGCTCCATGTTCAGATGTAAATAACCAACCACGTTCATATATACGGCAAGATTTCACCATCCAGACAAATGGTTGTTGTTAAATAGATTATGCCAAGTGAACGTGGGCCATCATATCTACTGTCAATGCTGAGCCAGTGGTGGCCACGATGGTGTGATGGTGTCTCTTACGATGCTGTGATGGTGTCTCTTCAAAAGAATGAGCATGCTTGCGTCTCACAAAGTGGCACCTTTTTTTTAACAACCTCAGAGGGTTAGTGACGATGAGCTGGTTTACCTCCCTCGCGGTCGTTCTAAATCCACGAGCTGGCTTGTGAATCGGGTGGTCCACCTACAAACAGCACTGCCCCGGTTGGATGTCTTTGATGCGACTGCTTTGGGACGTTTGCTGCATGTGCGATACTTGGGGCACACCCTTTGCTCACAGGCTCAGTGGAGAGGCTTCGCTCTGCGCAGAAAACTGCACCGAGAGCTCCAGGCGGTCAGGGATGCCACGGTCCTCGACAGCGATGAGTTTGCTGAAGTCGACATCGATAACTTCACGCTCCAAGAGGTGTGTCTACAACGCAGAGCTGGGTCAGAGTCGATTTGTATGTATGTTGAAGTTATTTTGCACCGAGCGTAGCCAACTGTGCTAATCGGAGGTGCGATAGAAGGACAACAAACTGAACACAAAAAGCAGAAAGAAATGAGCTCTCAAAATAGTATAGTGGTGTAGTGTATATGAGTGTAGTGTATAAGTGTATAGTGTAGTGTATAGTAGTCTAGTGTATAGTTGCTTGTATGTATATTGAACTTCTTTTGCACTGTACGTAGCCAACCCTGCTAATCGGAGGTGCAGGGGAAGGACGACAAACTAAACACAAAGAGAAGTTCGAAATAAATTAGTTTTCAATCTAAATGATTTAAAAGTGCAATTCCATTGCTAACGGTAAAGGTGCTGCTTCAGTGACTGCTTGCTCACAAGGCTGTTGACGGAAGGGCCTCCAATTAAGGGATCTCGAGAGGGTAGAGAGAGCATCTCCAAGGATATTTGGCCTACGCTTCCACGCTCACCAGACTTCTTGACAGAGGTGGGAGTACCCACACTTTACCCCCACTACACACGATCTGTCAATCGACTAACTGTGGTGGACCCATTTACACCGCTGGGTGGACATTGATGGGGGAATTTGAAAATAAAGTGTGCTCATCGTTTCAACTGCTGTGCTGGGAGATCAAAATTTATGCACTGATTCAGCACTAGTGAGATCCTTAGTTTGGATCTGGGTGTCTGTGTTCTCAAGCATTGCAGTTGATGGTCTCTGCAAGCATCTTCACATACTATCAATAAAAATGTTCCTTTTTCACTTAATCCAGCATATTTCAGTGCTAAGGATAAATAATTTGCTTCGTATGTAGTGAGCACTTTGGTTAGAGTTTACGTAGAGGTATGCCACCTGGTGTGAACACTAGGTCTATTAAAGTAAAGGCGGAGGTAGTTCTATAAAGTAACTTCCATGGGCCATTCCTTCACGGAATATGACGCACTGTTTGATGCTTTAGCTACGAATGGAAATGTATTTATCTCTTGAAATTATGCCAATAGCATAATTGGAATATAATTGGCAGGGGAAAAGGCACAAAAAAAGAGACGCTGAAATTATGTACCTACTAACTCCATGCAACCAGCTGATTGGTCACTAGGTTACTCGGCCAACAAATTATTTGGATCTAACCAGATCTTACTGTTTTCTTAAGGAAAAGAGAGAGGAAAAAGCACTCTTGTTTGCTGAGGAGTATCAAATATCAGAGTTGGAAGGAGACGGGCCAAAGAGGGGGGGGGGGGGGGGTGGGGGTGGTTAATTGGTGCCTCATTTAAGTGAGGAACCCCATTAGGTCAATTTCTCAATTAGCGGGCAAAACGGTTTCTTTTGGTCTTCTGAGCACAGGGCTTGCTTCTCATTACTGACTTTGCTGTCTTTTCCCGTTGTGCAGCACGAGTTGGATAAGGCCTGGCTTCCGGCAGAGACTCCCCCAATCACTACGAGGAGCCAGCTTTTCCTGTCGAAGGTACAATGAAGGCACGCATTTTGCTCTGCACCCCCACCAGCCACATTTAATTGGCAGCAGTCTTTTGGTGGCTCGTGCAGGATATTTTTTCACATGTTGAAAGGACGACATTGCGGTAATGTTAGTCATGCCGTGCATAATACTGATTTGTTCGCAGAGCAGTGTTTTGTGACATCGCTGTAGGCATATGTCAATATCGTGCGTTACTCGAACGTTGCGTATTCTGTACAGTCAAAACGTCTCCTTGCTCAAACGAATGTTGGGCAAGTGTTCATTCCCATTAACATCCCAGTCGTGGGAATTCCACATTGCTATGGCGGGTTACATACACTGTAAGAAAACCACTGTTAACATTCCAAGAAAAGGTACGGAGAGATACTTATGATATGGCTGAATTGCAATATCAACAGATTTGTAATCGTGAATATAATTGAGAGCAATGCAGGGGAAATTTGGTGGATCAAAAATATTTGTGAAACTCCCCAGCACACTGGGCAGCAAGGTGGCGAGGAAATGAGTAGTGCAGTATTCTCTCGTTTCCGCGATATTGGCTATCCGCGAATCGTATCTGGAACTTTACACGACTGCATCGAGAGAGAGAGAAAGAGATGAGATAAAATGATGGCAGAGAATGCGATGTGAGAAAGTGATCAGAGAGAATATGATGCAATAAAGTGATGAGCTAATTGTTGCGTTTTGATAGCTTGTTTATGTATTTATTTTAGGCAATTCGTTAAAAAGATAGGTTTTCGTAGGACAATATCATTATCCACGAAAATTGCTATTTTCAAGTGCCTCCGGAACGTATCCCTCACGAATAATGAGGGAATACTGTACAGCATATTGGTCCATGAACCCATTTGTATGAACCTCTGGCTGTTATCCCTGCAAACACATGGGTTTTTTCCAGGTACTCTGAGTTTTGTCATACATGTAATTAATTTGCTAAACATCTCAATGCAGAAGCCTCTAACTCAGGATTCTCCAATTGCCAACCCACGGGTAACATCTGGCCCACAAACACTCTTGGAATACTCGCCAAGTTATGGCCTTCGCGAGATATTGCTTTGCCCAGACTTTTATTTCTAAAGTTTAGTGAGATAATGAAGAAATAGAGAAGAAGAGAGAGCTGCAGATAACAGGTACACAGGCGCCGTCACAAGTACACATTTCATCATGTCCAAGTGTGGTTTTCCAAGTTAGGCCGCATTTTGGGCATATCTTCTGTGAAAGCTCTCACCACACACTACTGTGGGCATCTTCAAAAGTTTTAAAATTTGAAATATTGACAAGTAGTATGTTCAAGTATGAGTTGAAAATGGCCGCAGTAGCGCGTGACGACAGCTTAAGAGAAGACATGCTCAACACGTGGTTAAATACGGAAGACTGCACTTGCATTGTGAATCCACTGTGTTTTGTTTGAGTTTCTTCACGATTCCTTTGACCCCAGCCTCCAGGCAGTGCTGTAGCCAGGGAGGACAGCAGTGGCGTTGCTGTAGCCCGGCAGCCCAGACAAGCATGGAGGGCTGAAAGGTCAGTACACACAAGCATCCACTTTATTTAAAAAATGTGCACCTGTATAGATTTTATGTGGAGGCCGGTGTGTTTCTTTTGCTGCTAAGTAGATTAATTGGATTACTTGGCTACTATAAATTTCCACGTGATAAGCCACTTTGTTCAGCTATCATTTGTGGCCAGGTCGCTTCTGAAAAATAAGCTAATGGCTCAGTGGGCTTTGCCTGGCTAAAATAAAAAATATATCTATACTTGGTTCTTTCAGTAAAGTCACGTAGAAGGTAAATAATAAAAATAAAACAATAAAATTATCACGACGTTTCGATTTCAACACAAGCAATCATCATCAGGTGTGAAAACCACAGCAAGAAAATTGTACATTTTCTTGCTGTGGTTTTTACATTTCTTGCTGTGGTTTTCACACCTGATGATGATTGCTTGTGTTGCAATTGAAACGTCGTGATAATTTGATTGTTTTATTTTATTATTTTCCTTCTACGTGACTTTACCGAAAGAACCAAGAATATGAATCCCTGCAGTCACGAAAGTTATAAATCGAAAAATATAGATTTTTAGTGATTTGCTTACCTTCCTATACTTTTCACTCCGATCGTGTTTTTGTATTATTTGTTGTTGTAACTTTCTGACCTGCCCCGACTGGACATCTGTGATAAAGAGCTTTATGGCTCATCAGATTCCCTCATTATAAATACAGATTCTGATTCTAAGTCAGTGTGTATGTGTTCAGTGATTATATTTTTGCAATAGGTCCTCGTAATTTGTGCAGTCCTCAGTGGTCAACGTATTGGTAGACCAGTGCTTGCGAAGGGAATATGCAATCTCTACCCCTGACTCAGGGTCACTAAAGGAAATTAGTGCCACATGATTTCCTGTTTGAGTAGGGAGACACTTTTATTTGACTTGATTAACAAAGTGCTATGTGTGCCACATAATGGATATTATGTCGTATTATATGGAGGGACTTATGCCCAGTATAAGATGGGAATATTTACTTCTCTCTCAGGACTACAAATTGAGATTAATACTGCCGAATGTTGGAGTACAATTTTGGCAGTGACTATATTTCTGGCTTGACTCACAATCTGCCAATTCTAAGTAGAAATCCCAGTCCAGGATCAATGCATGATATCATCCCTCCAGGATTAAATAGATAATTGCTATGTGTATGGATATACTTGCCTTTGTCATAGAAATGTGTCATTTCCTAATCGTAACACCACAAAAAAATTATTCATAATTAATGTACTTTTCCATTTCCAGGGAGAATGATTCGCATCCCTCTGGAATAACAGAGGCTTCTTCAAACAACAGTCAGCACCTGAGAGAAGGGAAACAAGAAAAGATTAGAGAAGAATGGTACGAGGATTTGTTTTCTTATTCTCAAATCGCGATACCTTACTGTTTCCTATACATCACTTTCCCTTTCTAAAATATGAATTCCAAAGGAACATTGTTAAGGAAAATGGAACGTTCATATTCCAATGCGAATGAACATTGTTGTTATCTAAAACCTTGCACTGGCTCCACCGTCAAATCATGGACACGCTGCAACATCACTGTCCTGTGCTAGCTCTCTCTCACGGTCTCCTGCCATTACCTCTCCACCCGTTCTCTCGTTCCACTCGCCACGGCAAAACCGCCACGTTCTGTAGAGTACGTCAAGCAACTTAGTCATCGTAACCAGAACCACGACTGTCCTGGCTGAGCGGTGTTTCTCCGCAGTTGTACCAGCAGCCATCTGGAAGTCTCTCCCACTGCACATACGCAGCATCCAGGCACCATCATCCACCTTCAGGCAGCAGCTCAAGGCTCTCGCCCATCCATGCTCTCAACTGGACAGGCTCTCATCCGTTGAGACTTTCAACCTGTTCAGCCTTTCACCTGTTCAGACAGGCGTACGAGAGACTTTGAGCTCTTGCCTCCACGTCCTCCGAGTTCTTGACCAGACATTGCATCCCATTTGCGAAATAGGAGCAAACCCATTTTATTTTGCAGAACCCAAAGCTGACACTGGAAAATACTTTTTCAAGGACAGTGCATATTATTATCAGAATTGTCTCTTTTGTTTGCATTTTGACTGCTTGTGTTGTGGTTATTGCAAACATGATGCCTTGAATAAAGGTGTCAGTTTTTGTGCCAGTTAAAAGGGTAAAAACCTATTACTATATCTTGTTACCGGCAAAGGAGGTCTCATAATGCAAATGCTCACCCCGAGCCCTCAATACTTTGATAGTGCGCTGTTTTTGAGTTGTATGCCTTTTGGCGTCTTCTGGTCCAACACCAGTGAAGACTAGGCTCTAAGAAAAGCCGTCTCGGGTGTGGACCAATCAAATTCATGGACAGTGCATATCATTATCAGAGTTGTCTCTTTTGTTTGCATTTTGACTGCTTGTGTTGTGGTTATTGCAAACATGATGCCTTGAATAAAGGTGTCAGTTTTTGTGCCAGTTAAAAGGGTAAAACCTATTACTGGAAAATACTTGTTTGGGTGCAAATGTGGCCAGGTATTATCACGGTTAGACTGCTAGGCTCTCAAGTGAACATTTTCCACGTTCAAACTCCGGTTGGGGTAGACCTTGTACAGCAGCTACATACAATGCAGATCAGACACTAGTCCACACGTTAATCATAAGTCATGTGGACCATTGTGACAGCATCTTCAGCTGCACCATCGCCATCCATATCTATGTCCACTCCAGTCTGTCATGAACTCAACTCCACGTCTGACAGTGTAAAAGGTCAAATGCGACCACATCACTCCGACTGTTCATGATGACCTGCATTGGCTACCAATTGGACAAAGGATTGATGACAAGCTGTGCACATTCGTATACAAGTGTGTACACAATTATGCTCCGCGCTATCTGATGCATATGCGTGAGCCGGTTGACTCCAATATCAATTGTCGACATCTTCGTTTGCCAACTCATGGTGACCGTGATCGTTCCACGCACTTCAGTGAGATTTGGACCTCGCAGCTTTGTGGACAGCGGTCCATCGGCCTGCAACTCACTGCCGCGACGCAATGTTCAAGACTCTTTACAGACATTTAACCAATTCAGTAGAAAATGCCAGACAAAAATGTTGGATAGAGCTTACATTGTATGACTATTGCGTACTCGTAATAACGTACGCTATTATAATAATCTCGATTTTATAAATTGCCTATCATATTGGACTATCTGAAAGTGCTGTACGTGAAAATACAAGTACACTTACAGTTGCGTGTTTATAAACGTACTTACCTTCATCCATCTGAGGTTTATTAAAACAAATACCACTTTGTAGAAAAGTTCCAGTGGCTGCCCTATTTAGAAACTGCCCCTGCCACGTAATCGTGGAATTTTCACCACTGATTGATGGCAGCCAGTGGAGATGAGCAGGACTCCACTCTCAGTTGGCAGTGGAGACACTTGGAACTATTGGCTTATTTATCAGCTGACTTGTTTACGAATGATGCAGATGAGTTTTTGGTGCCCTGTTTAAAATGCTGCTCTGCATGTTGTGCTGATGATGAAGGGGCTTCCGAGATCCACAGACTGCCTTGCTGATGCTCAAGCGTGCTCAGAAAATGAAGTCAAAAAAGGCTGTCGCCCAGAAACAAATGGGTGAGTGCCTTGTGGCTACACATGCGGCTATATCATGATAATGTTACGTCTAGATGGTAATGTGGCAGAGACCCATGGTCATATCGCATTAACATTGTTAATGTTTTTGCTAATTCCGGCTAGCTGGCATTTTCTAAAAGGTAAACTTTGTCCATGTCGATTTAGGTGCCTTAAAGGGCACCATTGTGGTTTGATTTCAAGAAAGTTCACATTATATAACGTGAGAGCCCGTATGTGAGATACAATATCCGTTTTTAAATTAATTTTCTCAATGGTCATTTTGTCTGTAACGTGCACACAAAATTCACTGAGGTATTCTCTTTCCATCCATTTTAAATGTCCATGATTAAACCAAGTGAAGTACATTATATGCAAGTGGATTATATGAAATTCAGAATTGTATAAGTGAGCATTACATTAACAGTTATTTGTTATTTTTTTAGATACTTTGCAGGTAAGTAAAATAACATATATAACTAAATGCATGGCTGATACCATGACAGAAGCATACGAAGGCCCATTAATGTGAATGTTACCACGTTACCTTTAGAGTAATTTACAATATAGATGAGCAGACAATGTCTCCTTCACATATCTAGCTCTCCACATAAAATATAAAAACAATATTCTGTACGCAACTCATTGACCCCATGGCCTTCTGGGAGTGACACATTTCAGCTGCACTGATTCAATGAAGCAAACTCTGATGCGATGCTGATGAACTACCAGATGTTAAAGTCAAGGACCCTCCTTCTAAGATACAGCAATGAGTACACTTTGCGAGAAGACAAGGATTGAGACTGAGCGAAGCAGTGATACTGGCTCAAGAAAGAGAACCATGCTGGGAATTCATTCAATGTCAATGTGCCATTTTATTGAGGGACTACTGAGTGTGGTCTTGGATTGTTTTGTTGCTTTTGCTGCCTTGCCCACGCTTGATAAATGGGACTTATATAATTAATGTATTTATTAATTATTCATATTTTAGTGACTTGCTTACGTTTTTTCTCTATTTTGCACAACTATCGTGTTTTTGTATTGTTTGCTGTTCTAACTTGCTGACTCGCCCATACTGGGCGTCTGTGAAAAAGAGCTTCATAGCTCATCGGATTCCTCCAGTCTAAATAAAGATTGTGATTATGTTTTAATTCAACCCCGTGGTAGCTTAATGAGCTGAGGAAGGTTCAGGTCACCTATGATTCTATATAAAGCGGCACATTAATAAGCTTTCACCTTTGGTATTGTCCTTTAAATACATAAGTATCACTGGGTTTCAGCAAAATTCAGAGCACCATGCGGTGAGACACGATTGTAGTGGATAAACTGGCTCCCACCATAGGAATGTGGAACTTTAACCACTGGATCTAGACCACCAACAGAGCTTATTTGAGCAAAGTGACACTTGACATTCATGGTATAACGTGTACGTCAAGTCTAATGTTACTGTGAACTAGAGGTTTTAATTAAGTGAAAGTTTTACACTACACCTGGAGGACTATGTAGACATCAGCAATGTAAACACATACATTAAAACAATACACAGATAAAACAAATCTTACAATGTTCATAATAATAATCCACAGGGAGCACTTCTTACGAGTAATGACAGTTTTATTGTATAGGTAAATTTTAAAAGAGTTCACCTTTTCCAACACGTGTGCTTAATATTGTGCGCAAAGCCTTCACTGATGTGTAGCGAAAATTGCTCTGCACCGATATACATTTCAGAGGGCCTATTGCTTTTGAACAAATGCTAAAGCAATTGTCATGCTTTTCACAGGTCTACAGCCTTGGTTCTATTAACCTAACACTGCTAAACTGCCTCCTGTAGCACCCCTTTTAACCTCCTTTATTGGCATATATGCAGTGTTTTCTTCAGAGCCCAGGTCTAGACACCGGTCAGGCTTCAGGAATTTCTCCCTTTTTTGCGTTGTTTTTAAAAGCTCTGACAAATCTAATCCATCTAAGAGTTCTTCTGCATCAACAGTAAGCCATTGTGTTTTCTATGGATGTTTATATGGATGGGACAGCGGGCTGTTCATTTACCAAAATAGGCACCAACAGTTTTCCATAATTTTATCCAGGAAAATAATATGTTAATATAACAATGTTGGCAGTATAAAAACACTTGACATTATATACGTTTAAATAGCATACCAAACTAGCATATACATCAAAGTGGAACTTTGGTTAGAGCGCTCACCTCACAATTAAAAGGCGATTAGTTTAAATCCCGGTCATGGGTTTATTGACAAAACCACTCATCCTTCCGGGGTCAATAAAATTAGTACCACTTTTGGGCAATTAATTGTTCTAGCGGATAGACTAGCACCTACCACTGGCTCAAGGCCACCATTGAAGATGAACATTACTCAACACGAGTTTCGGCGCAGTGATACTGGGCCCGTTTAATGTAGCGTTTTCACGTATTTATGAATTCATGCAGAGTTTTTAATGCATTTTCTCAGAAAGCCGTGAAGTGATTCCAACTAATTCATGTATGTGTATGTATGTATGGTGAACTTATTTTGCACCGTACATTGCCAACTGTGATAATCGGAGGTGCGGGGGAAGGACAACAACATATAGCAGTATATGACTCCTTTTTCTGAAAATGAATGGGTGGAGATTAAGTCTCCAAAAAAATCCCGAGGTCAAATTAGCAGTTGGGGGGGGGGGGGGGGGTGCCCACGGGAATGGTTGCCGTGTGTGCTGATGTCAGAACGCTCACCCCGCCAACGCACAGAGCCGACCAATTACACTCTGTCCGTCCCGCACACGAACACACCACGCGAATGTGTACGTGAGCCTTTCTCCGCCCTCCACTGAGACGTGGAATTGTACCGCTAAGACAAATGCAGTGTTTATCCATGTGTGCATGGGAACCGGTAGCGTAAGCGGTTAGCACGCCGCGCTGAGAACCCGGCTAATCCGAGTTCGATTCCCGCTCATGGCTAACACCAGTGACGATTATCTGAACCGGTCGACTCAGCCTCAAATGAGTACCAGGTGTGGTGTGTATACAAAGCCACTAGGGAGACAAAGACGCCTAGGCGTGGTGCTGGCCGGCCTTCATAGGTGCTTGCTAACGGCACTTGCTCCAAAAGTCTCTTCAGGCTATATGGGGGATCTTTATCTTTTAATGTGTAAGTGTGCATGTGTGTGTATACTGGCGAAAGGGTCCAATAGACATGTGTGCACGTTTATGTGTACATATGTGTGTATGTGTTTATGGGTGATTATGTGCGATACAAAACGTGCAACTTAAGTTTAATTACCAGCCACAGCACACATCAGTAGCGAGTGTTCTCAGAACCTGTTCTGAGCCTGCTCCAGGTCCAAGGTCCACCGAGACTTAAATGGGCGTCTGGTGTGGTGTACGCATGGTGCTTGCGATCCATCACTTTGGAGGCACGGGTTGGTGAATCACATGGAGGTTTATGAAACTCCCACTGTCATCGTCACCATCACTGCCATCTTCATGTGCGTTTGCCTCCGTTCCATCGCTTACAACACAAAAGTTTGGGGGAACAAAACGTCGCTCTGAACTTTGCGTCAAAATGCCGAAACACGTTGCGGAATAGAGGCGGCAAACATGGACGTGAATTTGTGCGGAATGGGGCTGTCACACCCTCTCATTGCTCCCCCCCCAAAAAAAGTAATGCCCCTAAATTAGAATAGTATGTTGAACTTATTTCGCACTGTACGTAGCCAACTGTGCCAATCGGAGGTGCAGGGGAAGGACAACAATCTAACCACAAAAAGCAGTTCTCAAGAAATTAGTTTTCAGTCTAGATTTGGCTTCCTAATATTGGGAGTAAGAGCGTTCCAGACGGCCGCAGAATTGCATCTGAGAGCACGTGATGCAGTGACCGTCTTTGTTCGATGGCTAGCCAAAAGAAATTGACGTAATTCCGCACAACGTCGAAAGTTTCTGAATATTTGCGGAAACTCTCTTTGCCATCGTTGGCTCCACCCCAATCCCCGACCTGACCCCGCGATAAATCTTGCCGCTTAATTCCACAAGTCAGCGTGAGTGGCGGTGGCATGGGTGCGTTTTTGTGCTGAATCGGCTGCACGTAAATGCAAATCGGCTTTCTTTTCTTTAATGAGTTTCTATGAAAAGTGCCATCCGGAGAGTGTGAGAGTTATGACCAAAACAGCTGCCATGGATTGTGCCCACTGAACTCTGCTGTATATTCAATGTTTGCGTCATTCAAATTATTAATCCAGTGTTATGTTATCAATCAAACAATCAATTGTAGCCTTCTTAACCTACTGCTGGATGAAGGCCTTCCCGATTAATGTCGGCCACGGGGTTGTCCCATCACACCCTCAATAATCACGGTTGGCTGCGTACGGTGCAAAACAAGTTGAGCATACGTACACACATCATACCACGCTGGCCAGTGCGGGTTGGCGATGTGTGAGAAATCCCGGACTTATTTAAATATCCCTTACCACTGATGTTAGCTGTGGACATTAATTGAACTCCAGCAGCCAGGTTCATAGTTCATTGCACTAACCACTGTGCCACTGCCCCCCCTCCCCCCAGTTTCGTATAGGTTTCCCAATTTACAAATGAGCATTAGTATGGTGCTCATCTTCTAAGCAGTGGAAACGCCATGTTTCCAAAGCACCGAAAGGACGATCATTATCGGTTTCAAACCAAGTGATACTCGTTTTATTAACCCTGAAGGGACAATGGCCCTATTCAAGCCTAAGAGTCGAGCGCCCTTATCCACAGCAACACACGAATCCGGATGTGTACACAGCGCATACATATATACACATGCACACTTGCAAATGAAACAAAGTGCACGCATTCGTTTTGAATGTCTTGCGTAACATAGCAAAAACCGTTCAAATACATTGACCGTATCTGACGATGACGTTTAATCGAATACTTTGGGAATTTTGGAGAGGGTGCCCTTTCTTGCCTGTGGGCGAGAAGTCCAATGCGAGTGTGTGGCACTCGGCTACGGTGACGGGAGGAAATG